CTGTGCCCCAGACTGTACAGAGATGAAATCTATGTCATTTGTAAGTACAGATCCTCTATATAAAGAATTAGACAAGTGCATGTAGCTACGCAGTAGTGAACAAAAGTTATAAAGAATTAAAAAAGTTGATTTTGGCAGTCGGTTTTTATCATTATTACACAATGTAGAAAATTAATAAACTTCCAATTCATGAGTGTTATCTAGGTTAATGTATAAGCATGATTAATAGGATCTATCCTAACTGGTTTAGCTAAAAAAACAAGGACAGTAGTTTTTTTCAGTCTTTGAATTTTTTTTATAGGATAGGGTGACAAACGAGCACACAGTCCACCTGATGGTAAGTGGTTGCTGTGCCCCTTGGCATCTACATCTATCCTCGATTACAAATCAAAATGTAGATGCATTGTCACCCGTGTGGACTAAGATGGAATGCCTCATTTCCAGTAAAAAGGGTCTCCGGTTCTCTACACTCACCATACGAAATACAGTAGCATTAAGCTACTATTTCACGCTGGTATTCTGTGAGAGCGTGGTCCTTCCCCGGTCGAGCCAATTGTGCTACAACTATACTTCTAATATAACTGCAGCATGGCTCTACCACGTATAAATTACTAGCTGTTACCCGCGGCTTCGCCCGCATGGTCACTGGGAAATGAACTATCCATTGCTTTTTGAATTGAAAGAAAACTGAGTTTTATAGATTTGTCAGAGATGCAGCCATTAAAAGGAAACTGAGCAAAATTGATTCGTCAGCCTATTTAAATGTTTTGAAATGCAGCGTATAGGAAAGCATGAAAATAGCCTGTTTATTCCAAATGGAAATGGGATTTTTTTAATTAAAGGAAACTGAGCATAATTATCCATCAGGGATGCAGACTTTTGAAAAGAAACTGAGTTAAATTGATTCATCAGAGATGCATTTTTCTGAATTGAAAGGAAAATGAGCCAAATAAAAGATCCGTCAGAGATCTTGTGTGCGCAGCCTTTTGAGTTGAAAGGAAACTGAGCTTAATAGGTCCGACAGAGGTGCAGCGTTTGGAATTGAAAAGAAACTGAGCTAAATAGGAAATTTTGAATTGAAAAGGAAGATCTGTGGAAATTCTGATTAATTGGTTGTGGGAATTTTGGAAAAAAAAAAAAACTAACTGAACACTATATTAAGATGCTACTGTACACAATGTTTTATGTTTTTCCATTCGGGGAAAGAATGTGGAGATTCTGGGCATTTGTAACACGACACACACGCGAACATGCTACATACAGCTGACCATGAGAGAAGCACGGTTTTTCTAAGTTGACCCCCGCTACCTGTAACGTTTGCCCTTGCGCTTTATTAATTGTCATTGCAAAACTGAGCTTAATAGGGAACTGCAACCTTTTGAATTGAAAAGGAAGATCTGTGGTAATTATAGGGATCCGTGGTATAATAACATTTTCATCTTCCATCAAAGATGTGTCACGCGCAGCCTTGTCCCGTTACATAACTAAGGACCATCTAAATTTCGCATTAGCATGACTGGGACGCCTAATTTTAATTGAAGCTTATGTGAGGGCACACCTGACAAATCTAGAGAATTTAGAAACTCTGCGGGATATGAAGTGCTCTGTTCTGTGTCCATAACTGTGTCTACTGACAAATACTCTGTTATTTCTTCTGCTACTCGCTTAATGTATCTGAATTTATTTTGTTAACGCTCTCATTTTTGGTGCAAGAATCGCCCTTTCATATAACCATTTGTCTTCATGCATGTTGTTCGTTAAATCTGAATAAATGCTCGCAATGAATTCGGAATGACTCTGTACTAAATTACAAAAATCTCTCGTCAATTTAACGCAGCCCTCAGCATCCGTTTCCAACCGCCCGTCGCCAATTTTTAATAGTGTGTCAGCATAGTTTCCAGCAGTGATATCATTATAAAATGCACTTTCATATTCGTAGTTAAACTGAATTTTGTCACCTTGTTCCATAAAATAGACGACTTGAGGCATGCTTTAATTTCATCTGCAGGTGTGCCCTTTTGAATGACAGGTAAAGTTTGGCGAAAGTCACCAGCTAGTAAAACCACCATTCCTCCCATTACACTGGTATTGGTGTGCAAATCCTGGAGCGTTCGATTTAGTGCTTCTACAGCTTTTTTATGCGACATTGTACTTTCGTCCCACACTAAAAGTTTGCATTGTCGTAGCATTATACCTCGTGCACTATTTTTGCTAAAGTTGCAGATCGGCGATTCTTCCTGGGCTAGATTTAGAGGGAGTTTTAAAACAGAATGTGCAGTGCGGCCCCCGCTTAGCAGCGTCGCGGCTATACCGGAGGAAGCTATGGCCACAGCAATGTTTTTATCTTTCCGTACTTGCGCTAATAATAAATTTAACAAAAAAAGGTCTTCCCAGTTCCTCCAGGAGCATCTAAAAAGAAAAGTGCACCATTTCCAGATTCAATTTGTTCTAATCAAAAACTCGTTATTGTTCGGGAAGCAAGCGTGCTAAGCTGGTATATCGTAGCTTGTTTCACGTATAATTTCAGCACTTAGTTCATTTTTGGTTGTTCCCTGAGGGCTTATCATTCCAAAGTCGCTTAATTTTTTTGCCTACATTGCCATTACTTTATCTTCAATTTTTCCAATTGCTTCATTATAAATGTGTTCATTGTATATCATGTTCGCGTGTGTCTGCTGTAACCTTCGCAAAATATCTTCCGCCATGTACTCTTTATATTCGTCCCACAATTCATGTGCTTTAGATAGCCCGCAAGATGATATGGGAGTTGCATAAAGATCCCTAATTTTGGCTGGTGACTGGCACTGCACAGCTTCCTCCATGGTTTCATCCCAGTGATTATCGTTTTCTAAAAGATGCAGAGCTTCACATGCTTCTTTTTAAGTTGCGCATTCCTAACCGTTGACGGTTTTAAGGTCTTTATATCCTGTAGGACCCCGAACATGGTGCAGCAGCAATCGTAAACAGAAACATTCAAAATTAGTTACATGGACGGTATACACATGACCAAGGGCATCTGATGACTTTACACCGGGCCAATTTGCAACAGGCGCGCCTTGAATACGGCGTTTCCACTCCTTCCTAGACGTGTTCCAAGTATAATAGCGGGGGACTTCAGAATATAACAACTTTTTTGCAAAGGGGTCGGTTTGACAAAGTTGAAAGAAGACTGTTTATGTGTAGTTTTTGGCGGTGATGCAATTCTTTCTTGGAAATTTCTTTGAAATATACACACTGTCCATTTTCTAAGTGCACAGCAAGGTGAGTACGGGACAATCCAGCTAATCTAAGGTTTCGAACGCTCCAGAGCGAGATTTGATTGTAACTTTCCTGCCACCATCTTTAGGAGCTCTGTGTCTGTATAAAGGGTAGCCATTGCCATTGTGCACTGTTTCTTTTAATAGCTGTTTAGGGAATTTCTTTGTACATTTTCCGTCTTTCATACATGGTGATATTGAATTTCGTGCTCCACATGGACCGTGAATCATATTTCGGACGATGGTATCATACAATTCTTTATCTTGCTCAGGATCCGGAATCTCGGCGCTTATTATGTCGTCTATTTGGCTGGGCCGCAACTTCTCTTTAAACCATATTAGAATGTGGGCATGCGGTAATCCTTTTTTTTTTGCCATTCAATTGAATACATGAAGCACTGCACCTCTCCGAAAATTTTCCCTTTGTTAATTACATACATTAATTTTTGTACTTTCAATCTAAATACTCTAGCAACTAAATCGCGTCTGTCAGTACTTTTTTGGCCCGGCATTAGCTCCTCGGTTATTCTTTCCATGTGGGATTGCAAGTAAAAGTAACAAAAAGATCAGATCTTCCGTAAGTTCGTGCATGGGCGAATGCGTCTTGTGTGTACTCATGTAGGTAGCGCGGACTGTTAACGAATGACAAGAGCAGAATTACCATTTTACCTAAATCTCTGGCGTTTACATTGGTGTCGCTAGAAACTGCATCTTGTAAATGTATATAATTCTCAACGCGCAGCTTTTTTTGATTTAAAGATATATAACGGAGACGTTCACTTTCTACCTTCACATACATGTCTACCAAAAATTGATGAAATAATTGTCTATACCGGGCTAAGAGGTTAACATCATTTTCTCGCAACATCATATGATCTATGCCCTCAGAGTTAGCTACCCTTCCCTTTTCAACATGGAGGACCGCACACTTATCCGTCCCCAGCTCCATTCCAATAGAATTGCTAAATTCACAAGTGATGTTTAGCAATTCCACAAGATGGGAGCGACTGAAGGCGAATAACTTGAGGTCAACTTGAGGTCAACATCGTAATACTCGCACACTGACTCGCCATAACTTCCGTGGTGTTTACGGGCTCTGACCACAGGCCGCGCCAGAATGCGACAGTGTCGGCCTGATTCGGTGCTGGGCCCGTTCCACTTACTATTGGTCGCTCCAATGATTTATAGAGCCTCTTCTGATCACTCTGGAAGAGACGATTCTGGATGTACCGTGTCGACCTCTCGGTATATCGCCGAATCAGCTTTCCCCAAACAGCGATTCTCTGCTTCAGGTCGTCTATGCGCTCCGTCAGTTTTTGCATTATATCCGGCTGGGAAAAACTAACATTTGTCCCAGCAAATGCCATCCTGACGGAGTGCACAATCCTTGGCCTGTTATTGCCTGACCTGGAAGCATATCAGTCTGCCGATGAGGGCCGTAGGCTTTGCGAAACGTTCCTCAATTCTTCTTCTCCATGCGGGGATAGCGCTACTTTAGTAGCGCGTTCAGCCGTGGAAACCTTGGCGCCTATAGTACGGCAGACTGCCAGCGCGGCGCCAAAAAGAATTGAGTTCATCTCGCAAATGTTCCGGCTGGCTTCCAAATAGGTCATCAGCATAGGGTTCAGAGCCCTCACGACAGTCCGATTCCGCTTGCTTAGGGCTATGCGGGGGAAGTCGCGGTCGATTTTCGAGAGGCGTACTGCGCGTTTCCACAATCGCCTCTTCCAATGTACTCCTCATTTACTCTATTTCTAGTTCCTGGGTGAATATTCCATCATCATTTGAATCAGCAACCACTGGGATATTCACGGCGGCATCCACGTGTGCGCGTTGTTCTGCAACTTGTGGTACCGCATCCTCAGTCGTAGAATTTTCATTTGATGAGGGAACAGCCTCACGTCGTAGCCGTTCGAGTTCGGCGCCATGAAATATATTTGAGCGTAAGATATACCGAACTCGGTCTGCCAGGTTTTGCTCGGTGACGGTTATAGATGGCTCCAGCTCAGTAAAAAGACGATGCATCCTAGCCCGATACACAAAACCCCCAACTTCTCCCCTTTTCGCCCTAAAATACGCCCGTAATGCGTTTGTATTCATATTGATAGTCCATCGCATGCGGCGCACTCCACCAGTGGCGAGTGCCGATTGCTGCGCCTGCGAAGACCCTGCCGACACCAAGCAAGCTGGTGGCGATGATGGATGCGAGGGACTGCTGGGTGGTCGTGCAGCACCTCGCGCTCGGCTGGCGGTTTGCATGCTGTCGCGTCCAGCGCCAGCTCCAGACGCGCCCTGGTGACCTCCAGGCAGCGGCCCTTTGCGCAATCTTCTGTGTTCCATCATCCATAGTGGGCGTCATTTAACGGGAGACGCCCAGACCCGGCGCCGTTTCATGATGGGGCCATATGCACAAGCGGGCCCTTGCACCTTCAATTTTTGCCGAGGTACGGCGCTCACACCTCTTGGCAAGGTGCTGACTGACTACGCGGACGTAGCAGTTTTGTCACATAACCGTCAAATCATTATTATTATTATTATTTCTATTTTCATTATTTTTTCTCAGCTATGAGCTGGTAAATAATGGCGATTACGGGTTGAAACCAAGTAACCGTCATTGTAATAGGGGATAAGCTACATCACTGTCATCCTGCATGAATTTTCGAACGATGCGACATGTACTTAAGATTGCTGCTTTTTGTAAATTAATGTATGAGTTCGGTGATATGTTTAGCATTTTAAACTATGATGTAAGTGCTTCGGGATTATTCCGGTGGTAGAAAGTACTATGGGTATTATAAAAACTTTTTTTCAACTTCCACATTTTTGTTATTTCTTCTTTCAGTCTGTGTATTTATTTATTTTTTCGGTAATAGTTTTAATTATATTATGCGTATTAGGTACGGCTATATCAATTATATATACTGTTTTATTTATTTTATCTTGCAGCGTAATATCCGGTCTATTATAATGGATGGTTTTGTCTGTCAGAATAGCATGGTCGTAGTACATTTTAAAATTTATATTCTCAAGTACGGCCGTTGGTGTGTATTTGTAATATGGCGTATGTGTGTCTGGGATTAGTTTGTGTTTGATTGCTAATTTTTGGTGTATTATATTTAATATCTGGTTGTGTCTGTGTGTGTAAATTGTCTGCGTGAGGGTTGGGCAAGCTCCTGTAATATGCTGAATGGTCTCGGGCTGTTTATGACATTTTCGACATTTATCATCTGCTATTGTAGGATTTTTAATTATATATTTTTGATAATTTTTCGCATTAATGACTTGATCCTGTATTGCTATCATAAAGCCTTCGGTTTCAGGGAATAAGTAACCACATACAAGCCACTTATTCGATGCCTCCGAATCTACATGTACTTGACCTAAGTCATAGGGATGTCTACCAAGCAAAACTTTTTTTTCCATTTTATTAATTTCAAGTGTTCTTTGTCTGCATAGTGACCATTTATTTCTGTTATATGTGCATTTTCTGCAAGGTTTAATGGTGTGAGGTTCACGTCTATTCTAACAATAGCATTGTGTAAATTACTGGTAGTAATTTTTATGTGGAAGAATGATCTAAGGGTTGATAGCTGTTTAGTCCAGAGAGTTTGGATGTCTATAAGAGGTCTTACTGTTCCACCTCTATTTCTGCCTATTGAAATTCTTTATACTGCAGACTTGGGATGTAAATGATTAAATTTTGTTAATATGGTACGTGTTTTTATTTCGAGGCTAACTATGTCTGTTTTTGTCCATTTTATTATACCAAATGAATATGTTAATATCGGAATCGCGTAAGTATTAGTAGCTTTGATAAGGCTTTTCGATCTTAGTTGGGATTTACAGATTCGGCTTACTCTATTTTTATATTCTGTTAATAATGCGTTTTTTAAGCTAGTATGGTCTAACAGCTTGGATTGCTGATATTCTAAGTACTTATATACCTCATCTGACTCCATGGACGAAATAGTGCCTCTTTCTGGTAAAGTGTAGGGCCCTGGTTCTATTTTTCCCTTCTTTATATTTAAGATTTTACATTTTTCTAATCCAAACTGCATATCTATATCGTTACTGAATTTATTTGTAATATCTAATAAGATTTTCATGTCTTTAAACGAACTGGTATAAAGCTTTATATCACCCATGCATACCAGGTGTGATATTTTAATCTGGGAATTATGGAGTTTTACAAGGTAGCCTTTCTTTTGATCATTAAGTAGACGAGATAATGGGTTGATGCGAGGCAAAACCACAATGGACTCAAGGCGTCGTCCTGGTAAGTACCTTTCCGGATAGCTATATTCCTTGTACTAAGACTAGTGTTATTGGTATGCAGATGTAAAGAGGTTTTCCAGTGCAACATAATATTTTCCAAAAAATTAATTAGAATCGGGTTTATTTATTAATCTATGCCATTATGAGGCCAATATGCCATTATGAGGTACGCTATCAAATGCTTTACGGTAATCAATAAATGTGCAATGTAAGTTTTTCTTCCTTAAATTTGCGTGTCTATGAATGGTTGAGTCAATTTTGAGCTGCTCCTTGCAACCCATGTGGTTCCTCCTACACCCTTTTTGTTCTTCTGCCATAATCATGTTAAGCTCTAAATGTGAATTTATTTTTGCAGTGATAGTAGCGGTTAAAATTTTGTATATTGTGGGGAGACAAGTAATAGGGCGATATTGGGATGGACTATTTGTAATATTACTTTTTTGGAATCATATACGTAATCCCTTTTTGAAATAAATGGCGGCAGTGGTTGCTTTTAGAGTATAACATTTGTAAAAGTTTTAGCGAGAGCCTTATGGAGAGTATGTAATTTTTTATACCAAAAATTGTGAATGTTGTCTATTCCTGGTGATTTCCAATTATGCAGTTTAGAGGTAGCGATTTTCACATCATCTTCTGTTATTTCGTCAAATATCATTTCCTCTATTGAATCCCATTTACTTATCTCCTCTTGTATCCAGTCTGCACTTTCATTGTACGATACTAACTTCTCCCATATATCAGACCAAAACTCTTTAAGCTACTCTTTAGTTACCATTTGTGTATCATCCGTATTATTAGTTATATTTTTATCCTGTTTTAATTGTCTATAGAATAATTTTTCGTTGGTTTTAAAAAGTTTATTTTCTTGTTTTCTTTGATTAGCCTTCGAATATCCTTTAAGTCTTTGTGCTTTAAGTGATAATTTCTGTGTGAGTGTGTCAAGGTATTCTTCAGGTGATTTGTTTGTGTTTTCATGAGTTGTATGTGTTTGATAACTTCGAAAGACTTTTGCTGCTGTTTTAGTTACTTTTTTGGACCTATTGCCCTTAATATATTGAGTAAGTCTACCTATATCGGATCGGTTGGTTTATTCCTTTTTGTAATCTTATTTGCCATGCTGGTTCTGGGTTACGCTTGTGATTTGGCATTTGATTTTCATCTAAAAATTTTAAACCTAATTCTTTTGTTATAACCATAGCGTTACAGTATACGAGGGTACGAATGTCAGTTAAAAGTGAATTATCTGTAATAAATCGCTTGAGTATGTTATTGTTAAAAATATCTATTAAATTTTTAAGCTTTTTACTGTATTTTAATTTAGGTAATTTTGGTCTGCATGTAGGATCCATACCTGAGTATTGAAATATTGTTGTTTTTAATTCTTCATGTAGTTTTGTAATTACTTCTTCTCCTATAGTCTCTTGTTCCAATGGTGTAAGATCTGTTTCTAAAATGATATCGTATACCATATCTACTTGCGTGAGAGTATTTGAAGTTTGTGTGGAAGAATGGGTGGTGAGTGTAGTCGGCTCTGTAGTGAATGAATGAGAGTTTTGATCGCATGAATGAGGTTGAGGTAAATCATTTGTTGCAAGAGCGTCTAAGTCCGTTGAGTTAGAACAAGGAAGTATGTTGTGGCTGTCATTACCAACGGTATTTGATTTTTCAATTTTATGCCTGATTTCATTTTTTAATATGTTCCAATTCTTTCTCAGAAAGATATTTCTTTTTAATTATCATTCGTCTCTGATTTGAGATTATTTGCTCCGTAACATTTACTCCCGGGTATTGTTTAGTAAAAGATTCATGCAGGATTTTCCTGTAACAAGTCATATCTGTCTCTAATTTTACATATACATAATACATACATAAACACTCACGCCTGTCACCCAGAGGGGTAGGCAGAGATTACAGACTTCCATTTAGTATGATCCTGACATAACTTTCTCGCCTCTTCCACATCCATATACCTACGCATACATGCTCGTCGGTTAAGGCTTAATTTGGCCCATTTTTAGTATATCGCCAATTTGGTCAACAAACTTCCGCCTAAGACGTCCCTTTCCGACTCTTCCATTCACTTCCGCAACATATATTTGCTTTGTCAGTCTTTCCGCATTCATTTTTTCTACATAACCAAACCACCGAAGCATTCTTTTCTTAATCCTGGTCACCGCATCATCTTGCAAATTACACTCTTCTTTTATCAGACAGTTTCTCACCCTGTCACTCAGATTCAGCCCTAACATACTCCTTAGCGACCGCATTTCTACTGCATTTATTCTACTCTCGTGCTTCTTCTGCCACACCCAACTTTTACTACCATACGTTAAAGTAGGGACTAATACAGCACTGTGAATTGCCATACGTGCCTTTTTTGACACATTCTGACTTTTCACAATAGAGTGTAGAGCCCCATTTACTTTATTTCCTGCATTCACTCGTCGCTCAATATCCTTATCATATCTCCCATCCCTGCTGAATACACATCCCAAATATACGAACTCATACACTTGCTCAATTAACTCTCCTTCTATTCTTATTTCACATACCGTTTTGCTTTCATCTCTTTCAAAAACTATCACTTTCGTCTTACTTGCGTTCACTTTCATTCCCCTTTCTTTTAATGACCTGTTCATTAATGTAACCATCATTTGCAACTCGGCCGCCGACGACGCAAGTATGACTTGATCATCGGCGTACAAAAGGCATTTGATGGTTAAATCACCCATTCCTAACACGCATTCTTCAACTTTCAAATTTTCCAAACAGCTGCCCATAAATAGGTTGAACAGCCACGAGAAAGCTACACAGCCCTGTCTGACACCTTTATGGATGCCAAACCAGTCCGAGTAGACCCCGTTGATTCTAACACAAGCACTCGAGTTCCTATACAGAGACCTTAATGCCTGTATAAAACCTAACCTAACCTTTTTTTTTTTTTTTTACGGGGGGAAATCCTCATGGACTGCCTCTGCCTGGGGACAGGCGGAGGGGTGTGCCGGACTCTTACCGGCTAAAACCACCCCGGTGTCTCCTCGCACGTGCACGCGCGGGGCCGCGGG